TCTGGGCCTGGGCGCTGTCCCTCAGCCCTTCAGCTCAAGGCTAGCACTCTACCACTTGAGCCACAGCACCACTTCCGGCTTTTTTCTGCTATGTGGTGCTGAGGAATCGAACTCAGAGCCTCATGCATGCAAGGCAAGCGCTCTACCACTGAGCCACCTTCCCAGCCCTTCTCTTTCATTTTCTTTTTTTTGGTTGGCCGTGGGGCTTGAACTCTGGGCCTGGGCGCTGTCCCTCAACTCTTCAGCTCAAGGCGAACGCTCTACCACTTGAGCTACAGCGCCACTTCTGGTTTTCTAGTGGTTTATTGGAGATAGGAGTCTCACGGTCTTTCCTGCCCGGGCTGGCTTTGAACCGAGATTCTCAGATCTCAGCCTCCTGAGTAGCTAGGATTACAGGCGTGAGCCACCAGCGCCTGGCTTTTCTCTTTCATTTTCAAAGAGGGAGCACAGTGGCTTGGAAAAGTTAAGTTGCCTTGGCCTGGGTCCCGCAACTAGGAGGATACAGAGCCAGTATTTGAGTCTGAGTCTGGCGTTCTCTATCTTACTTTCCTTTGTTTTTATTTGTACTATTTTACTTGATCTCATCTTGGAAAGTGCTAGTGTGTGAACTCCGGGGCTGGCTAGGCAGGCTGTTGGCAAGTCATGGAGTTGCTATAATGGGGTGGTGGGAGTTTGGCTTGGCTTAGAGGGGAACAGCATTCAGCCATCCCTTTGGTGGTTTTGAGCAAACAGAATTCAAACATGCAAACCTTTTTCCCTAGGCTGTGTGACGGAGATTCCCAAGGAAAAGAGACTGAGGGGAAGAGTGGAAGAAGGGGCGGGCTCCCGGTAAGGCATTCGCTCCTGAACAGAGTCCTGCAAAGGTCAGTAGGAGGGAGAATGGGGGGGGGAGGGGGGAGGAGATCTGGTGGCATCCGGAGCTGGGTGGAAGGGACAGAGGGGGCGGATATCAGCCCCAGGCTACACATGCGCAGATTTTCATCATCCCTGTCTTGGGAGACCCTCTACATTGAAAGGGTGTGTGACCCACCACTGTCTCCATTTCCAGATGGAGAAAGAGGAAGAGACAACCCGGGAGCTGCTACTGCCCAACTGGCAGGGCAGCGGCTCCCACGGGCTGACCATTGCCCAGAGTGATGATGGAGTCTTTGTGCAGAAAGTGAACCCGAACTCCCCTGCGGCCCGCACTGGGGTGGTCAAGGAGGGTGAGTTGCTCCAGGAGGCTGGATCGGGTGCTAGGTGCTGGGAGGGGCGTGGGGTGGGTGTTCAGGGGTGGGGGAGGGTGGGGGAGGGAAGCCCAGGGAGTAAGGAGCAGACAGGAATGGGCTGGGTATCCCACAGAGGCCCCAAACTCTGTCTTTCCTTGTCCACCCTGTCCCTTGCTAGAGGGTCTCAGAAGATGCTGGAGAACTAGTTTCTCGGGTCTGACTCTACCACTTACTATTACTTCTGCAGCTTTGAGTAAATGTAGTGGGCCTTCCTCAGCCTGTTTGTTCATTTGTAGTATGGGTATTCTCATGCCTGCCTGGTGCTCAGAAGGGTTAAAGGCAAGTTAGTATCCAGGCCCAACATACGGCTGTTTCTGTGTTTGTTCTCTGAGACTTCATAGGTCTTACTTGCTGTTGCTCTTTCCCCACTTAGGGGACCAGATTGTGGGGGCCACCATCTACTTCAACAACCTGCAGTCCGGGGAGGTGACCCAGCTGCTGAACACCATGGGGCACCACACCGTGGGCCTGAAGCTCCATCGCAAGGGGGACCGCTCCCCCGAGCCTGGCCATGCCTGGACCCAGGAAGTCTTCAGTTCGCGCAGCTCTGAGGTGGTTCTGGTGAGTACTCACCGACCCCTCGGTGCCCTTAGCAGCCCACGACTCCCCTGACCTGCCCACTCCCCTTCTATCAGCCTTCTCGGCCCCAGCTGATTCCTTCTCCTTGCCTTCTTACCTCCTGGCCAGCCTGTTTCTTTCTGCACATGTATAGCATGGGGCTGATGTTGCCTCTGAAGGTTAAGTCTCTTGAGAGTGAGTGCCCGCTGTGCCAAGGGGTGGGACCAACTCATGTGCTCTAGGCCTAGATGCCAGGAGGAAGATCAGTTGCCTTTTTGTAGGAGTGTGAGCGCGCGTGTGTGTGCCCCATGCTGGGGCTTGGACTCAGCCTTAGCTTTTTTGCTCATTAGGTGCTCTACTAAGCCACAGCTGTACTTCTGGCTTTGTGGTGGTTTCCTGCCCAGGCTGGTTTCAAACCTTGATCCTCAGATCTCAGCTTCCTGAGTAGCATGTAGTCACTGGCTCTCTTCCCCTAAGAGTTGGCTGGTTTTTTCGGGGGGAGGGGAAGAAGGGTAGTTTTGTGATTTTCTTTTTCTTTTTAAGTGGCATAGAAAAAGAGAAGAAAGGAAATGAGAGGAGGGAAGGAGAGAGGGTGTGGGGGGGGATTGATTTCCTATTCTCTATTCAGCGAATGGGAGCTAAAGACTCAGTACTAAGCCGGGTGCTGGTGGCTTACATCTATAATCCTAGCTACTCAGGAGGCTGAGATGGCAGTTTGAAGTCAGCCCAGACAGAAAAGTCCCTGTGAGCCTCTGATCTCCAATTAACCACTCAAAAGCCGGAAGTGGGGCTGCGGCTCAAGTGGTAGAACCCTAGTCCTGAACATAGGGAAGCCCAGGGACAGCACCCAGGCCCTGAGTTGAAGCCCTACAATCAAACCTCCCCCACCCCCAAAGACTTCCAGTACTAGGCAGGTATTCTACCTCTAAGCCACATCCCCAGCCTGTCTCAGCCTTTGAGATGATTTCTTGCTGGCCACCTCTGCCTCATAGATATCATTTAGCTCCTCACAGAGGCCAGAGATCATTCGGTGAGTCAGAGGCTGGGCAGTGCAGGGCTTGTAGGGATGTCTCTCTGTTCCTGGTCACTTGTTCATTGATCACGTGGCGGGTCTCCAGTGTGAAAGTATAATGCAAACACAGCCACGCTCTTAGGCTCAACAGATGCTTTCCAAAGTGCAAAGGGCTCCTGAGAGGCCTTCTTGGTAAAATGAAGATGTCGGCAAGCAGAGAGTTGCACACTGAGGTGTGTGGTTAGAGGGGGTTCCTGGAACAGGTGAACTGGAACCTCTCTGGATTTGAATACATCCCCAGCTCTTTCCCTGACTTCCATTTAGGCCAATGTTCCCCAATTCTTTCTGCATCTTCCTATGATACGGCTGCCAGCACCCCTCCCGCCATGACTTTCTTCAGGCCCTTGTGCTTTACCCCAGGAGGCTTCCTGGCCCTCCCTTACCATCCTAGATTCTTTGGGAAGCAGGCACGTATGTATATATTATCAGCTGGGCTGTGGCTGGGCAGGTCGGGCAGGCTGGGCTGCAACCTCTGCCGGGCATGTCTTTCTGCAGAGCGGGGATGATGAGGAATACCAGCGCATCTACGCCACAAAGATCAAGCCTCGGCTGAGGTCAGAGGATGGAGTGGAAGGGGACCTGGGGGAGACGCAGAGCCGTACCATTACAGTGACCCGGAGGGTCACGGCCTACACGGTTGATGTGACCGGCCCGGAAGGAGCCAAAGAAATCGACATCAGCAGTCCTGAATTCATGATCAAGATTCCAAAGCATGAAGTGACAGAAATCTCTACCTTGGATGTAGAGGCCCAGCCTGGAAAGACAGTGATTAGACTGCCCTCGGGCGCGGGGGTAGCCTCTCCCACCACAGGCGCTGTCTTTGACCTCAGGCCAGGAGCCATTTCCGCCTCGGGACCAGAGCTTCAAGGTCCTGGCCACTCAAAACTCCAGGTCACCGTGCCTGGAATAAAGGTGGGAAGTCCGGGCGTCGATGTCAGTGCGAAGGGTGACAAAGGAGGGGTTCAAGTGCCAGGAGTGGACCTTTCGTCCTCCCTTGGGGGTGGGGCGGGAGCAGCGCAGGGCCCCGCCCTCCAGAGTGGTGACAGTGGGAAAATTAACATTCCTACCATGAAGATGCCAAAATTTGGTGTCTCCACTGGAACGGAGGGCCAGGCACCAGAAGTAGGGCTGAATGTTTCTGCACCTGAATTCTCCCTGGGGCCCCAGGGCAGCAAGCCAGGCCTGGCTGTCAGTGGGGATATCAAGGAGCCTCATCTGGAAGTGAAGGCACCCTCTGTCAATATCAAGGGGCTTGAGGGGAAGCTGAAAGGCCCCCACCTCACTGGACCGTCCCTTGAGGGTGACTTAGGCCTGAAGGGTACTAAGGCACAGGGCAGCATAGGAATAGATGCTTCTGCTCCCCAAATTGAGGGTGGGCTTACTGGCCCCAGGGTGGACATTCAAGCCCCGGCTGTTCAAGTCCACGGGCCCGAGGGCAAACTGAACATGCCCAAGATGAAAGTCCCTGCATTCTCTGTAGCAGGTTCCAAGGGAGCAGGAGCAGGGGTTGAGGTGACATTGCCCACAGGAGAAGTGACTCTTCCTGGGGTGTCTGGGGATGTCAGCTTGCCTGAGATCGCTGCTGGTGGGCTGGAAGGGAAGATGAAGGGAGCTAAAGTCAAGACTCCTGAAATGATCATCCAGAAACCCCAAATCTCCATGCAGGATGTGGATCTGAGCCTTAGGTCCCCTAAACTGAAAGGCGATGTGAAGATCCCGGTTCCTGAGGTGAAAGGTGACGTTAAAGGCCCTCAAGTGGCAGTTAAAGGCGCCAAAGTAGACATAGAGACACCAAGTCTAGAGGGGACCGTGACAGGCCCCAAGCTTGGCAGTCTTTCTGGGAAGCCAGGCACATGTCGGATCTCTATGGCAGATGTAGACTTGAATGTGGCTGCCCCGAAAGTGAAAGGGGGTGTGGATGTCACACTTCCAAAAGTCGAAGGGAAAGTCAAAGTTCCCGAAGTGGGCATCAAAGGCCCCCAAGTGGATGTCAGTGCTCCAGATGTAGACGTTCATGGTCCTGAATGGAACCTGAAAATGCCCAAGATGAAGGTGCCCAAGTTCAGCACTCCAGGGGTCAAAGGGGAAGGCACAGATCTAGATGTGACTTTACCCAGAGGAGATGTCAGTGTTTCAGGGCCAAAGGTCAGTGTAGAAACCCCAGGTGTCAATGTGGAAGGTCTAGGGGGCAAACTTAAAGGCCCTGATATTAAGCTGCCTGAAGTAAGTGCCAAGACACCAAAGATCTCCATGCCTGATGTAGACCTGCATGTGAAAGGTACGAAGGTAAAGGGGGAGTATGATGTAACAGTACCGAAGCTGGAGGGAGACCTGAAAGGACCCAAAGTGGACATTGCAGTCCCCGATGTGGATGTTCAAGGTCCAGACTGGCATCTGAAGATGCCCAAGATGAAAATGCCCAAGTTCAGTGTGCCTGGGCTCAAAGCAGAGGGCCCGGAAGTAGATGTGAACCTGCCCAAGGCAGATGTGGACATTTCTGGGCCCAAGGTAGAGGTGAGTGCTCCAGAGGTGAGCCTAGAAGGACCAGAAGGAAAACTGAAGGGCTCTAAGTTTAAAATGCCTGAAATGAACATCAAAGCCTCAAAGATCACCGTGCCAGATGTGGACCTACACTTGAAAGGCCCTAGTGCCAAGGGAACGTATGACGTCACAGTTCCAAGGCCTGAAGGTGACATTAAAGTTCCTGATGTGGAACTTAAAAGTGCCAAAATTGACATTGAGGCACCGGATGTGGATGTGCATGGCCCAGACTGGCACCTGAAGATGCCCAAGGTGAAAATGCCCAAGTTCAGCATGCCTGGCTTCAAAGGGGAGGGTCCAGAAGTGGATGTGAACCTGCCCAAGGCTGACCTTGAAGTCTCTGGACCCAAAGTGGACATTGAAGGGCCTGCTTTGAATATTGAAGGGCCAGATGGGAAAGTGAAGGGCCCCAAGATCAAGATGCCAGAGATGAACATCAAAGCTCCCAAGATCTCCATGCCTGATGTGGATTTGCATGTGAAAAGCCCCAAGGTAAAGGGAGACTACGACATCACCGTGCCAAAGCTGGAAGGAGACCTGAAAGGCCCCAAAGTAGATGTCAGTGCTCCAGATGTTGACGTCCAAGGTCCGGATTGGAGCTTGAAAATGCCAAAGATTAAGATGCCAAAGTTCAGCATGCCTAGTCTCAAAGGAGAGGGCCCAGAAATAGATGTGAATCTGCCCAAAGCTGATATGGACATTTCTGCACCAAAGCTAGATATTAGTGCCCCAGATCTCAGCCTGGAAGGACCGGAAGGGAAGCTGAAGGGCCCTAAGTTTAAGATGCCTGAGATGCATTTCAAGGCTCCAAAGATGCCAGATGTCAATCTGGATCTCAAAGGACCAAAAGTGAAAGGAAATCTAGATATGTCTGCACCAAAAATAGAGGGCGAAATGAAAGTTCCAGATGTAGACATCAAAGGTCCAAAGGTGGACATCAAAGCACCAGAGGTGGAAGGCTCAGAGTGGAGCCTGAAAATGCCCAAGATGAAAATGCCCAAGTTCAGTGTGCCCAGCCTAAAAGGCGAAGGTCCAGATGTAGATGTGACCCTTCCCAAGGCTGACATTAATGTCTCAGGACCCAAAGTGGACATTGAAGCCCCAGATGTAAGCCTGGAGGGCCCTGAAGGGAAGCTGAAGGGTCCTAAGTTCAAGATGCCAGACATGCACTTCAAGGCCCCCAAGGTCACCATGCCTGACGTGGACTTACATCTGAAAGGCCCCAAAGTCAAGGGGGACATGGACGTGACTGTGCCCAAAGTAGAAGGTGAAATGAAAGTGCCAGATGTGGACATCAAAGGGCCTAAAAT